ACAGAATCAATGAAGTAGTGGTTTAAAACTTCAGCTCTGTTAGCTGGATTGTTTATAAGCTTTCCATTTACTTCAAGCAGTTTTCATCCATCCATCCATCTTCTCCCGCTTATCCGTGGTCGGGTCTCGGGGGTAGCAGCTCCAGCAGAGAGCCCCAAACTTTATTTTCCCTGGCGACATCAACCAGCTCTGACTGGGGGATCCCAAGGCGCTCCCAGGCCAGCGAAGAGATATAATCCCTCCACCTGGTCCTAGGTCTACCCCTTGGTCTCTTCCCAGCTGGACGTGCCTGGAACACCTCCCTAGGGAGGCGCCCAGGTGGCATCCTAACTAGGTGCCCGAACCACCTCAACTGGCTCCTTTCGAAGTGAAGGAGGAGCGGCTCAACTCCGAGTCCCTCCCGGATGACCGAACTGCTCACCTTATTCCTAAGGGAGACACCAGCCACCCTGCGGAGAAAGCCCATCTCGGCCGCTTGTATCCGCGATCTCGTTCTTTCGGTCATGACCCATCCTTCATGACCATAGGTGAGGGTAGGAACGGAAATGGCCCGGTAGACAGAGAGCTTTGCCTTCTGGCTCAGCTTCCTTTTCGTCACAACGGTGTGGTAAAGCGACTGCAGTACCGCTCCCGCTGCTCCGATTCTCCGGCCCATCTCACGCTCCATTGTTCCCTCACTTGAGAATAAGACCCCAAGATACTTGAACTCCTTCACTTGGGGTAAGGACTCATTCCCTACTTGGAGTGGACAGTCCACCGGTTTCCTGCTGAGAACCATGGCCTCAGATTTGGAGGTGCTGATCCTCATCCCAGCCGCTTCACACTCGGTTGCGAACCGATCCAGTGAGTGCTGAAGGTCGCAGACCGATGAAGCCATCAGAACCACATCATCTGCAAAAAGCAGTGGTGCAATCCTTAATCCACCGAACTGCAGACCCCCTCCCCCATGACTACGCCTCGAAATCCGATCCATGTATATTACAAACAGGATTGGTGACAAAGCGCAGCCCTGGCGGAGGCCAACCCTCCCCGGAAATGGGTCCGACTTACTGCCGAGGACCCGGACACAGCTCTCGCTTTGGGAGTACAGAGATTGGATGGCCCTGAGTAGAGACCCCCTCACCCCATACTCCCGCAGCACCTCCCACAGTAGCTCCCTGGGAACTCGGTCATACGCCTTCTCCAAGTCTACAAAACACATGTAGACCGGATAAGCGTACTCCCAGGCCCCCTCCAGGATCCTTGGGAGAGTAAAAAGCTGATCCGTCGTTCCACGACCAGGACGGAATCCGCATTGTTCCTCCTCAATCTGAGGTTCGACAATCGGCCTGACTCTCCTTTCGAGTACCTTAGAGTAAACTTTCCCGGGGAGGCTGAGTAGTGTGATGCCTCTGTAATTGGCACACACCCTCTGATCCTAGTGGTCCGATATTAGGAATTATGACGTCATCCCAATAAACCCGATACAAGTATTAATAGCCCCGATAATATAAAATATGTTTTTTGCGTAAAAAAAATAAATAAATACTGCGGTGTGGGTGGATTGGGATGAGGGGCGCTTGTTTTTCACTCGGCTCCTCCCGCGATCTCGTTCTTTCGGTCATGACCCATCCTTCATGACCATAGGTGAGGGTAGGAACGGAAATGGCCCGGTAGACAGAGAGCTTTGCCTTCTGGCTCAGCTTCCTTTTCGTCACAACGGTGTGGTAAAGCGACTGCAGTACCGCTCCCGCTGCTCCGATTCTCCGGCCCATCTCACGCTCCATTGTTCCCTCACTTGAGAATAAGACCCCAAGATACTTGAACTCCTTCACTTGGGGTAAGGACTCATTCCCTACTTGGAGTGGACAGTCCACCGGTTTCCTGCTGAGAACCATGGCCTCAGATTTGGAGGTGCTGATCCTCATCCCAGCCGCTTCACACTCGGTTGCGAACCGATCCAGTGAGTGCTGAAGGTCGCAGACCGATGAAGCCATCAGAACCACATCATCTGCAAAAAGCAGTGGTGCAATCCTTAATCCACCGAACTGCAGACCCCCTCCCCCATGACTACGCCTCGAAATCCGATCCATGTATATTACAAACAGGATTGGTGACAAAGCGCAGCCCTGGCGGAGGCCAACCCTCCCCGGAAATGGGTCCGACTTACTGCCGAGGACCTGGACACAGCTCTCGCTTTGGGAGTACAGAGATTGGATGGCCCTGAGTAGAGACCCCCCTCACCCCATACTCCCGCAGCACCTCCCACAGTAGCTCCCTGGGAACTCGGTCATACGCCTTCTCCAAGTCTACAAAACACATGTAGACCGGATAAGCGTACTCCCAGGCCCCCTCCAGGATCCTTGGGAGAGTAAAAAGCTGATCCGTCGTTCCACGACCAGGACGGAATCCGCATTGTTCCTCCTCAATCTGAGGTTCGACAATCGGCCTGACTCTCCTTTCGAGTACCTTAGAGTAAACTTTCCCGGGGAGGCTGAGTAGTGTGATGCCTCTGTAATTGGCACACACCCTCTGATCCTAGTGGTCCGATATTAGGAATTATGACGTCATCCCAATAAACCCGATACAAGTATTAATAGCCCCGATAATATAAAATATGTTTTTTGCGTAAAAAAAATAAATAAATACTGCGGTGTGGGTGGATTGGGATGAGGGGCGCTTGTTTTTCACTCGGCTCCTCCCGTTTTGCCAGTACTGTGGTTTAGGAAGAGGGGAGTTTTTCACAAATCCAGCGCTCCCTAACTCGTGCCTGGCTGTGGCGTAAATGGTGTGCGGCCGTGAAGCCAGGACAGTAAACAAACATGTCGTTGGTGGTATGGGACTATTTCAAAGTTTCAGAGTTAGATAGTTCGCTTGCTATTTGTATTAACAAATGCAGAAGTTCCACGAGGAGGGAAAAAGGCAACGAGCTATAATACTTCAAACCTGATTAGTCACCTGTAACATCGCCATCGCTACGATGGTGTGTTAAAAGCGTACGAAGACGCCTGCGCTGCTAAACTAGCGGCAAATCCAAAGCCAGCTGCAAAGGCACCGGGGCTTTTACCTATCGACGAGGCTTTTGAAAAAGGCAAGAACTTTATTTGGGAAAATAAATATGGTCACTTTGAAGAGTCAAAACTGTTCTTGGCTTTGTTTTGTTCATAGTAGTAATGCTCATGTCATTTGCTCACTACTAGTCTTTTTTTTACCACCAGGTGTGCAAAAACTACAGGTACATTTAATATATATATATATATATATTATATTATTATCGGTTATCGGTATCGGTCTTGAGAAGCAGGAAGTTATCGGTATCGGTATCGGTTTCAAAAAACCAATATCGTGCATCCCTATCTGATCCCCCTTTTTAAAAAGGGGAACCACCACCCCGGTCTGCCACTCCTTCCACGCAACGTTGATGAGACGTGTCAACCATGACAGTTCCTCAACACCCAGAGCCTTCAGCATTTCTGTGCGGATCTCATCCACCCCCAGGGCTTTGCCACTGTGGAGTTGTTTGACGTCCTCAGTGACCTCCCCCCGGGAGATTGGTGTTGATCCCCCGTCATACTCCAGCTCTGCCTCTAACATAGAGGGCGGAGTTGTCGGGTTCAGGAGTTCCTCAAAGTGTTCCTTCCAACGCCCTAACACTCCATCAGTTGAGGTCAGCAGCGTCCCATCCTTACTGTACACAGCTTGAATGGTCCCCTGCTTCCCCCTCCTGAGGTGTCGGACAGTTTTCCAGAACAACTTTGGTGCCGCCCGAAAGTCCTTCTCCATGTCTTCTCCGAACTTCTCCCACACCCGCTGCTTTGCCTCGGCCACGGCTGAGGCTGCTGCCCTTCGGACCTGTCGGTACCTTGCAACTGCCTCGGGACTCCCCCGGGATAACAAATCCCTGAAGGCCTCCTTCTTCAGTCGGACGGCTTCCCTGACCACCGGTGTCCACCAGGAGGTTCGAGGGTTACCGCCCCTTGAGGCACCTAGGACAGGATCAAGCAGTTTTCTTTCCCTATATGTATTTCCAGTGAATAGTTATGACTGTTTCCAGATTATTTTAGAATGCACCCTGCCTTGTCTATTATAGTCAAGAAGAAGTCTGCCTTAGCCTTCCGTAACTTCTTAATGACTTTGTTCCTCAGCACAGCAAAGTGATGCCTGTCATGGCCTGATGGATTTGTTTTCATTCATTAGTTTTAAAATATTCAAATGTATCCAAGGGACAGTGTTTTTCTTATTTTCTTGCTTGAATTTGCAATTGAAATCTCTGATAGTGCTCTCTAATGTTTTTGAGAACATTTGACTGTCTTCTTCGTGGTCTATTCCCAGAAAAAGATCATCCCATTTATGTGTTGAACAGCATTTATAAAGGTCTCATATTTGTTTTCGGGAATACCATAAGAATCATTTTTCCTGAATGAAGGGCTACATCGCCTCTTTGTTAGGTTCATGGCGACTAAAATCATATTGTGGTCAGAGAGACCAGTTAATATATTAAAATATTTAAAAATTCTCTCTGGTTTGTTACAAAAAATTAGATCAATTTGTGTCCTGGTGGAATTAGTGATTCTTGTAGGTCCATTGATCAGTAGCACAAGGTCAAAGTTATCGGTTTAAGATTCTTCTAGCAGATGTATCCTCCCAGTTGATGTTAAAATCGGCCATTATAATAACTTCTTTGTTTAAAATTACATTCTCTTAATAATTTCCTAAAATTCTCATAAAAAAGATTGTTTGAAGAAAGAGGCCGATAAATAGCTATTAAAATAAATGACATTTGTGGTGACAAAGTTATATTGACACCAACACATTCTAATTCATTGCCATTACAATTCATTTCATTGCAATGGATGCTATCCCGATTGGCTGGTACTACTGTGCTGTGATTGGCTGGTAATACTGTGCCAATCACAGCACAGTAGTACTGTGTCATGGGACGCTGCTGACCTGGTACTACTTAGTTATATGAGTTTACAGGTATTTTCTTAATGTAATTGGTGTCTTATTATTTGTATCAGGCACAACAGCTGGGAGCCAGAGGAGAACATGCCGGACCCCAGACTGCTGGCAGCGTTCCACAAGAGGTGTGTGTGTGTGTGTGTGTGTGTGTGTGTGTGTGTGTGTGTGTGTGTGTGTGTGTGTGTGTGTGTGTGTGTGTGTGTGTGTGTGTGTGTGTGTGTGTGTGTGTGTGTGTGTGTGTGTGTGTGTGTGTGTGTGTGTGTGTGTGTGTGTGTGTGTGTGTGTGTGTGTGTGTGTGTGTGTGTGTGTGTGTGTGTGTGTGTGTGTGTGTGTGTGTGTGTGTGTGTGTGTGTGTGTGTGTGTGTGTGTGTGTGTGTGTGTGTGTGTGTGTGTGTGTGTGTGGTACTGCTGTGATTGGCTGGTACTGCTGTGCTGTGATTGGCTGGTACTGCTGTGCTGTGATTGGCTGGTACTGCTGTGCTGTGATTGGCTGGTACTGCTGTGCTGTGATTGGCTGGTACTGCTGTGACATGACATTGAAATCGACAATGAACTCTATGGGCATAGATATGTCTCATAATTATTTGTGTGAACATAAAAATAATGTGTGTAAATATGTGATTTGTAAATGTAAAACACCACAAATGCATTTAAAAGATTTGCAAACTCACAAATAAATGTGCAAGTGTAAAACGGATCTGCAAATACGCTAAATATTTTCACAAATAAAAAAAAGATCTGTGAATATCTCTTTAACATTTACAACTTTCGATCAGGCATTTGTGAATCCATTTTGTATTTGTCAACCAAAAATGCGCTTGCGGATCTCAAATCTCTGCTCGTGGATCTCAAATCTCTGCTCGTGGATCTCAAAACTCTGCTCGTGGATCTCAAATCTCTGCTCGTGGATCTCAAATCTCTGCTCGTGGATCTCAAATCTCTGCTCGTGGATCTCAAATCTCTGCTCGTGGATCTCAAATCTCTGCTCGTGGATCTCAAATCTCTGCTCGTGGATCTCAAATCTCTGCTCGTGGATCTCAAATCTCTGCTCGTGGATCTCAAATCTCTGCTCGTGGATCGTCTTTTTACACACACGGAATTTTGAGACATATTTTCCGCCGGTCTAAAATCTACTCGTGTCACTCGGTGATTTTCGGAAACCACGTGATGGCCCGCTGATGACGACATTTCCGCATGATTTCAAAGTAAGAGCATGATGGTTTGTTTAATGCTCTGTTTTTATATTATAATGAACAGCGGAACGTTAGATGCATTCTTCATCACCATCATCATCATGTTATAGTGATACAGTTAGTTTGTGTTTATTGGTTCAATACAGCATATATCGAGCACTTTCGTTGATGTAATAAGATGTGAAGTGCTTTGTAACTTCGACCCGCTTGACTGAATACACAACAAACAATGAAGAAAGAGTTTTATCTGCTTCGCTGCCAGCTGCTCCCCCGGGACCCGGAAGTGGCGTATAGCCTGCACTTCAACATCAACGAAAGTGCTCGATATATGCTGTATTGGATTTGAGATCCACGAGCAGAGATTTGAGATCCACGAGCAGAGATTTGAGATCCACGAGCAGAGATTTGAGATCCACGAGCAGAGATTTGAGATCCACGAGCAGAGATTTGAGATCCACGAGCAGAGATTTGAGATCCACGAGCAGAGATTTGAGATCCACGAGCAGAGATTTGAGATCCACGAGCAGAGATTTGAGATCCACGAGCAGAGATTTGAGATCCACGAGCGCATTTTTGGTTGACAAATACAAAATGGATTCACAAATGCCTGATCGAAAGTTGTAAATGTTAAAGAGATATTCACAGATATTTTTTTTATTTGTGAACATATTTAGCGTATTTGCAGATCCGTTTTACACTTGCACATTTATTTGTGAGTTTGCAAATCTTTTAAATGCATTTGTGGTGTTTTACATTTACAAATCACATATTTACACACATTATTTTTATGTTCACACAAATAATGAGACATATCTATGCCCATAGACCTCAGATGATCCAGACTCATTTGCATTGTTCTAATTGCTCTGAATATGTGCTGGTTTAGTTTCATGAAGCTAGAACTTAACTGGATTTCTATTAAAATAATAACTTTGTTTGTTCCAGGCTCCTCAATCCTTCTCACCTGAACTCACAACTGAGTCTTCATACAGGTAATCCTATAACATGACCAAACATTATTTTAAACACATCACAAATATATATTAATTTAATTGTGTTTGATTTCATGTCTTTCACCTTGAGGAATTGCATCCGATCTCTTTCCAACAGACAATAAAATAATGCCTCTGTGTAGGAAGGATTGTTTTCTTGTACCAGTCTAGATCCTCGCTGGACTAGACATTGTGTTAATTTAATAAAGGTGTGTGTACACACACATCCTGATGCATGTGGACACATCTTCAGTGATGTTCCTGTAATCATCAGGTGTTTCAGATCTTACATCAAACCCTCCTGCAGGTCAGACTCCAGCTGGATGAACACCTGTCAGTCAGAACACAGGCCAGTGAAGCTTGTTGTAGTAACTTGTCCCCTGCGTGTCTACAGGTTCAGGTGTCCTGGTCCAGGTGAGTTCCAGTGTGCTTCGACTGGCCTGGTGTTCGTCATGGCTCAGGAGGCGGAGCTTCTGTACAGGGCGGTCCCTTGGGAGGAGAGCCGCCTCCAATCAGCTGGCAAGCAGGCAGCAGGGCCGCTGTTCGACGTGAAGAGTTCTGTTGAAGCTGCCGTCTGCCAGCTCCACCTGCCACACAGTGAGACAGAGGATGGTAAAGACATCTAGTGTTAACAAATATACTTATATAATTATTAGCACCTTATACTCTCCACTACTGTTCAAAGGTTATGAATCAGCTTTATTAAACTAGTTTAATAAAGATAAGATCATTCAAACACCAAATCTGTTCTTTACATTCAAATAGTTTTGTCCCCAAAAGAAGAAGAATGAAATTATAAAACGTCCATTTAGTCGATGTGTTTCATGACATCATTGATCATTATTGAAGCAGACGATGCAATGCAGCTCTAAATACTGAGTTGGATTTTCTTTGCGCCCTCTGCAGTCTCCTCTCTGTAATATTAAAGAGATTTAAACTGTGATTGGTCAGTCCACAGCATGCTCTGCTGCTAACAGTGCTAACTCAACGCTAACTCTCTGTTACTGTTGTGATGCTAAGCTAGCAGTTTGAATACTTCTTACTTTGATTTCCATCTGTTGCTCTTTCTGCTCTTCACATTGTCAGTCTGGCTGAACCATGAACAAAACAAAACAACAGACAACAACATTTATAAGTTAGACTTTCTACGCCCTGAAAGCTTTAGAAGACTCTTCACACATCTAGAGAATCACTCAGACATGAGACCGGACTCAGTCAAGCTGTTCTGGCTGCAGATTGCAAACATTTCAGTAAATGCTCACATCCAGAAAGATCACAGGGGGCAGATCAATAATTACACATTAGGATAAAAGGTGGAGGATATAAACTGGTACATCCTAGTGAGGCTCCAAAGTGAATTAGATGAACATTAGCTCTGAGCTAACGTGGTGGGACATTGAATATGATGAAGCTGTTTCAGCAGCAAAGCAACAGATGACCAGCTCTTTGCTCCACAGCGCTGCTCCTGGACGGCCTGTTGTCTGTCGTCCACATCACTGATGAAGGCCTGAGCATCTTGGAGCCGCTGGAGGTCACACGCACTCATGTGGTGGTGAAGGTGCTTCACCTCTCTCCCTTTGGCCTGGTCATCGATAAATTGAAAAGGCTTCTAAAGTTGCGGATAAATGGCCAAGTTCTGGTGTTCCTACGACCCCCGGGCAGAGAGGAGCAAATACTGGATGTATTTCTGCTGCACAACAACGTCCCTGAGGAGGAGGTAAAGTGCTCACCATCAGACTAAACACTGATTGAAACCATAGCTGTTTCCACAGAGAAGTTGTGGCCCCAAGCTCCCTACTGAATAGAATATAATATAATTGGAGGATTGAAACCCTCTTTAATGGTCACACATACATGCACACAGTGAAATGTGTTCTCTGCTTTTTACCCATCCTAGTCTAGCACTAGGAGCAGTGGGCAGCTATTGCACAGCGCCTGGGGAGCAACAGGAGTGGGGGGGGTGGGGTCCACACTTCATATTTAACGTCTGGTCAGGGACTTGAACCAGCGGCCCTACAGCTCCCAGTCCAAGCCCCTGCTGTTTGAGCCACTGCCGGACACTGCTCCTCTTTTCAAACTTTCTTGGTTGTGAGAAGACTCAGATGAGCCACACTCTACTTTGGTTATCAAACTCAAAGTTTACCTTCATACTTTAAAATACGTACAAATTAATGTTAAGATGTTGTGGCCCCAAGCTCCCTACTGAGAGAGATAATATGATAACACAATTAGTCTCATAATCTGAAAATCTGAGTTTACTCTGTGAACATCGGCTGATTTACTTCACACACAAAACACATACCATGGTTCTTTATAAATGAAATAATCATGAACTGCTAAGAATATATAAACCACAGAATAACATAAGTATTATATCAATAATGTGATGATGAATGTATGAATGGCAGGTTACATAATTAACATCGACAGTAAATCAGATGGTTAGCAAATACTGAAAGGCACGGTTGAAACACTCAACAACTGAAAGATTGAGAGGAAGTATTTTGAGAGTCCAACCCTAATCGTTACCTTGGTTGCTGATTGGCTAATGGTTACACAAGCCAAAACATTGTTATGACATCATCAAGTGGCCACAATCTGATCAGCTCATTTTCAGACAGGTTTTTATAGAAATGGATCAAAAAGAGAGAGAATCTTTGTTCCTGAAACTTTCAGAGTCTCTTTCCACAGAGGGGACACATGTTGATGTAGAAGAGACATGAAGAAGAGGGGACACATGTTGATGTAGAAGAGACATGAAGAAGAGGGGACACATGTTGATGTAGAAGAGACATGAAGAAGAGGGGACACATGTTGATGTAGAAGAGACATGAAGAAGAGGGGACACATGTTGATGTAGAAGAGACATGAAGAAGAGGGGATACATGTTGATGTAGAAGAGACATGAAGAAGAGGGGACACATGTTGATGTAGAAGAGACATGAAGAAGAGGGGACACATGGTGATGTAGAAGAGACATGAAGAAGAGGGGACACATGTTGATGTAGAAGAGACATGAAGAAGAGGGGACACATGTTGATGTAGAAGAGACATGGAGAAGAGGGGACACATGTTGATGTAGAAGAGACATGGAGAAGAGGGGACACATGTTGATGTAGAAGAGACATGAAGAAGAGGGGACACATGAAATGAACATAACCAAGCGTACGGACCGCATTGTCTTACTGAACCGATGAGCGGTGGCTGCTGTGCGTGATAAAGAGGGAACACAGCGGTGCAGAGGTGGACCTGAGGGAGGTGGCTGGAGGACTCCAGGTGGGGTCCCAGATGTCTGGACTGAGACTTCTTCCATCTGAGCACATCAACGACCAAGCAGTTTCTCAACCGTGACTGGGCACATCAGAACCCGGGAACTGGCGATGCTTTTGTACTGTTTTCTTCAGCTACTGAGTCTCACAGAGCACATGGGATTCTTTTAAAGTCTTTAAGCACGTTTTCCCTGCGGTCAGCACAAACTCTAGGGGGATGGGCGACTTGTTAAAAAAAATGCCATTTAAGTGAGATCTTTAATACTAACTAAGAACTAATAAAATAAAAGTAAAGAGAGGAAAACGCTAAGGTGATAAGGATTTGAGAGAATATGTCCTTTTGTCTTGCTCAGGTAGGGGGATGGGTATAGTAAACCGCCCAGGTAATAAACCTTCTGGCTAAATTTAAACTTTCCTATCTGAAATAAATAGTAATTGTTTCAAATATCTAACTCTAGTATTTGTTTAGATCAGTGGAGCAAAAAGTCCTTTGCTTGTCCTCAGGTCAGAGACATTAAGTAATACAACTGGAGAGTTTTGTCCTTGATCTTCCATTAGACTTCTTAGTGATGTTAGCCATGGCTAGCCAACCCTCTGGTAGTTTTTAGGGATTAGAGCCGGCATCTTGTGTGATCGTATACAGGAATTGGTCATGTGATTAATATGCATTCATTCCTTTAACAAGGTTTCCAGATTAATCGCGAGTTTTGACACATTAACGTTGACAAGTACGGAGCCCCTAAAGTGTCATGGACAAATATATATATATCTCGTGCGCACGATATACTGCCTCGTTCGCACGAGTCTGCCTTGATCTATGAATGAAGAGATGTGCCTTTTACGCAACACCTTCACTTCATTAGAACAGCTGAAGAGAGATCGAGGCTGCTATGTTTTAACCACACACACCTCTACACACAAACACACCTCTAGACACACACACACCTTTACACACACCGAACTGCCCGATTATTTAGTTGGAATGCTGATATAGCATTCCAACTATCTGTTCTTCTACACACAAAATTCTTTATTATTCCGCCTGTTATTTTGCCGGTCTTCTTCCACATCGCAGAAACTCTGTTCAAACATCAAAACGTTCAGCTCGGTCGGGAATCGATTGCTATTACTTTTATCGTTCATAACTTTCATAATTCCAGAGATACATCCCATAATTCATCAAATGTTTAACATGGAAATCAATGGAGAAATTATTCACACTTCAACAAATCTTCATGCGACTTCAACTGCTAACTGTTCATTCATACTTTCACTCAGAAACCTCATTCCAACTTTAAAATGTTACACATCTTTCTGACATTATTTGTGTAACACAACTTTTAAATCTGATTCTTACTTTTAGAGATATTAAACATTGTTCAGACCTTGGTACAGAGGCTTTCTTCAGATTTTCACATTAGCTAGAGAATGCAATTCCTGAAGAAATTGCTAGTGGGAATGCTTTATGCTGAAAGGCTGACGCTGAATTGCTATGCTGAAATGTAATGTGTAAGAAGAAAGTGAAGAATTTAGATTGAAATGATACATGAACACTGGGGGCTTGAATGTGTGATGAGAGAAGAAAAGAAAGTAAAAAGGCTTGGAAAAGCAGCAGAATATTTGAACTGCAAACTTTTGAACTAACTTGATGGCGAATGATCTGTCGCCATGCCAACGGCATTTGATGACATCCCATAATACGCTTAGATGCGTTGATGGCTGCATCATTACCAAACCTGTGAAGTTTTGGGCCGTTTGGAGCATTTTCACTGAAGTTATGAGAAAACCGTGTTTCATGGTGAGCATTGTGTTGCCACGGCAACGGCATTTGAAGAAATCTCAAAACTGTCCCGTAGATGTCTTCACGGCTGGACTGTTAGCACACATGTGAAGTTTGAGCACTTTTTGAACATATTCATTGGAGTTAATGTATAGCGACATCGTCTTTTATGGCGAGGGATGCGTTTCCATGGAAACTGCATATGATGGCACCCCATATTTGACGTAGAGCTGTTGAGGGCAGGGCCATTAACCTTTATCTGAAGTCTGCTGCTCTGAGCATGTCAGTTGGAGTTATGACATCATCGTGTTCCATGACACAGGTGTTTATATTTGAGCTAACGAGGTGTCCAGAGATCAAAGGTTTCCATTGTTTTGAATGAGAGATGAACCTCTTACATGTGAACGTTTTGTTGAAGAACCGTAACAGATATCGGTGACATTTCAAAGCGTGAAGCATCTCAAGGACCTTGAGTATCTGAAGTGTGCTTTTTGTGTACTTTCGGGTCAATAATGTGGCCTTTTTGGCAGATTAACTAAAGCTGTGCGGCTGCTGCTGTGAGGGAATATCAGCCTGAAATTACAACAGGCTTTAATGGAGACATGTTGAAAGTTTTTGTCACTTCATGCCCTCAAGAGGCATTTTGTTTAATTATTTTTGCTTAATTATTTGTAGGGATGTAACGATATACCGAATATCGCGGTAAATAAACGTCCCAATACCGTCGTGAGACTGACAAAATCTACCGCGATTTTAATTTTGTTTAATTATTTTCTGCCTAATTATTTGTCTTTTTTCAAGCTACGAGATGTTTTCCTACGTTTGTCATGAAAAAGTATGTCTCAGGAATGTAGGGTTTGGGAATTATGGCAGTTTTAAATATGAGGGCAAATTTCAAGAAGAGGAGCCAAAATAACAGGCGGAATAATAAATAATTTTGTGCGTAGAAGAACAGATAGTTGGAATGCTGTATCAGCATTCCCACAAAATTAAGTAAAGATACACCCTTTTCACCCGGGTTACATTACTCTCTCTTCTCTTGATCGCCCTCTCTCTTCTCTTGATCACCCTCTCAATCTTCTATCGCCCTCTCTCTCTTCTCTTGATCGCTCTCTCTCTCTCTTCTCTCTCTCTTCTCTTGCTCGCCCTCTCTCTCTTCTCTTGATCGCCCTCTCTCTCTTCTCTTGATCACCCTCTCTCTTCTCCTGATCACCCTCTCACTCTTCTATCACCCTCTCTCTCTTCTCTTGATCGCCCTCTCTCTCTTCATCACCCTCTCACTCTTCTATCACCCTCTCTCTCTCTTCTCTTGCTTGCCTTCTCTCTCTTCTCCTGATCACCCTCTCTCTCTTCTCTTGCTCGCCTTCTCTCTCTTCTCTTGATCGCCCTCTCTCTTCTCTTTATCGCCCTCTCTCTTCTCCTGATCACCCTCTCACTCTTATATCACCCTCTTTCTCTTCTCTTGATCGCCCTCTCTCTCTTCTCTTGATCGCCCTCTCTCTCTCCTCTTGATCACCCTCTCTCTCTTCTCTTGATCACCCTCTCACTCTTCTATCGCCCTCTCTCTCTTCTCTTGATCGCCTCTCTCTCTTCTCTTGATCGCCTCTCTCTCTTCTCTTGATCACCCTCTTTCTCTTCTATTGATCGCCCTCTCTCTCTCCTCTTGAT